ATTGCGCCCATAATGTGGAAGACTTGTAATTCTTTGCATTTTCACTGAAGTATGCCAACAAAACATTCTCGCTGTATACTTGAACATTTTTCTCGGCGCACCACTTTTTGAACCGATTGTAGGCTATATCGTATAAAGATCTTGACTTCGTAGGCAGCAAATTGCTTATTGCAATATTTGCAGCCTCCACAATCTCTTCCGACTCACAATTATTCATTGTGCACTAAACAAACTTTAAACTAAACCAAACTAGCACCTTAATTTGACAATTCTTTTTGTTTGTTTATTTTGTAGTTATGACAATAACTCAACGACTACTAAATAAATGCTCAAATCCGAATACAATAATTCTGGTGCTACTTACTTCATAATGACAAAATATGTGTTTTTAAGTTAATGAGACCGTGGAAAAAATAGTATATACCATTCGGGAGAGATGCTATTTTGTCCTCGGTGCATTGTAGCCCTCGGGCTTCAAATTGCACCTCTGCCAAAATAACGCATTTCTCTCCCTTATAGTATAACGTACTAATCTTAGTATTCAAATGAATATTTTAAAACTAAAGGTAGATCATCTGGAATTAAAATAGATTTTATAATTTTCTTATTCGCCTTTCTAAAACTAATCATTTGATGTTAGAGAGCAGAAGTTAATATTTAACGATGTTTTTCACGATGCTATTCAAGAAAATGGCTCTATCGCTCCCCATTACATTAATAAGGGGCGTGCACAATATTCTAACCAAACTTTCCTTCAAACTTAAAATTTTGAATACCGGGTTGGGTAATCGGTCTCTGTACAACATGTTATTTTTTCACAATTTAAAAATTATTTAATGCCTACATCGCTGCGGCTTTAAGGTTTATCCGACTCTGATACACGTCAACTTTGGAGTTTTACTATTTTTATTATGTTGCTTCGAATACCGAATCGTAAACGTATAGAAGGTACCCAGAAATTATTTTATTCGTATAATTATTATCGACGTTACTCTACAAACTTAGTTTGTAGAAACATGAAATAATGATTAAGCGCTCGCTTAAAATATATATTATGATTAAGGTTCCATGCAAGGAAATAGTGAATGTTAAGAAAAGAGAAGTAAGGAGTGTTCCCGAGCAAATGGATAATGCATGAGCGCCATAACTATTTTAAGATGTTTTAGACGAAAAACACGCGATATAACAATTTGCCAGAAAGTAACAAATTACGGTATTGCACTCTGATGTAAGTCTTTCTTTTATTGGTTTCTTTAGCGGTACAAAATGGGTACGTTTCGGTAGCAAACATGTTTTTAATTTTGAATTAAAACATTTAAACGTAAATTATATCTGCAAATAAAATATATTGGGCCAATCCCATTTTTACTGTATTCCAATGAATTTGGAAACATAGTTTCTAACACCTCTTTTGTCATGTACGTTGATACCTTTGTTAGGATCTGATAACGCAGTTGAGTTTTTAGAAAGAAACACATCTAATTCTTTATTAACAGGGCCGGTTTAGGGTGGGGCTACGCGGGCTGTAGCACCGGGCCTCACGAGATCGGGAGGCCTCGGCAAGATCTGGCAAAATTAATTTTAGTCTTTTTTTTAAGACTCAGTAAAGACTTGTATAGTTTTTTTTTTAAAGAGGGCCTGTAGCCGCGGGCCTCACCATACGTTAATCCGGCCCTGTTTGTTAAAGACGGTGAATGTGTGCTATAAGTCAAATCATATCTACTCAATCCTGCACTCAAATAATTAGGCAAAACCATTGTACCGAATTAAGTTTAATTTTAATCGAATCTACTACTTACGTTATGAAAAAGAAATTACATTTTTGGAATTAACAATTGACGAATGCCTGACCTGGAAATCTCACTGTACTCAATTAATATCGAAATTAATCTCATGTTATTTGATAAGAGAACTAAAAACCTGCTTTAACTTCTTTACAATTAATCTATCTATTTGTCTATCAAGCATATGTGAATTCCAAAATGAGACATGGTGTTGCTTTTTTGGGGAAATTTCTCCCTCATATCAGATGTTTTTTCTAGGATTAAGAAATGAAGGGATTTTTTTTTTAATATAGTCTTTAATATTAGCTCTCATGTCTTTACTGTAGGTTAAATAAGTATATTAAGCTAATTCAAATAAAATCTAAAATTTTCCTAAAAATCCAATCAAATTAACTCAAACAATGTTCTATACCAAAAATCCAGATACACAAAAGATATCTAACCTCACAGACAAGATTCTTGGCTGAAAAATCGGGTCTAACTCGAATTTTATGGGCTTAAAATTAAGTAAAAAATACACAGAATAAATGCCTTTTGTGTATTTGTAGAGGTCGAGCGTCATGTTGTTTGTAACAAAAGAAAAAAAATGCTCTTTCAGTTTTTCGTTTATATTCAAGTTAATGGTTTAATGGTTAATGGTAATTATACATTAAATATTTATTTTACATAATATTCTTATAAAAATTAAAAAAGGCAACTTTCTCTAGCAATACAATTAATTAAATGAAATATGGTAGAATTGAAAGTAACAGTTCTTTTAAATACTATAAAATGTAGTACAATAATATTCTAGACACAATTTACGCAATAACAGTTAATTTTCTGAGCACGGCAAATAGAGTACTGATCACTTTCTTCAAAGAAATAATTGACTTGTTTTTAAAAATACCTTGTTACTTGTCAAAATATCAAAAGCATAATGAAATTACAAAAGAAAACGTGAAAAATCAATAAAAATGTATTTTTCGGGGCCTGACGATACCTTTCGCAGACTTTTGCTTACACCATTCGAAAGAGCAGAAAAAAATAAGTTGTTTTGCACATTTTTTTTTCACCGTTAATTTTACAATGTAAAAAAAAATTGCGAGCTTTTGCAAAAGCCTTTCTTTGTAGTAAATTTCCTCAGGAACAAAATCGATAAGTATACCTCATGTCGATTAGAGGCTTATTTTCGGAGATACAAACGAAAAACTGAAAAAAGAGCAATTATTTTTTTTTCTTTTGTTACAAACAATATGACGCTCGACCTGTACAAATACACAAATTTAGTATTTTATTCTGAGTATTTCTTAATTTTAAGCCTATAAAATTCGAGTTAGGTCCGATTTTTGAAATAGGCATGTGTTTGGTCTAATTCGCCCGGATTATGATGTAAAAATAAATGTTTTCACTTACTTCCAAAAAGAGAACAAATAACAGAAAATCTTATTCGAAAAATTTGGGTCATTGTATATAAGCGGCATTATTTATTATATTACACAACATTTTTATAAAACAAATCTGTTTATAACCTATACAGCAAAAGTCAAAATTGAAATTTTAATTTTAAAATTTGTATTAGGACATTATTTGAGGTTATAAACAGATTTTTGTAATACAAATATTGTGTAAAATAATAAGTAATGGTACTTCTCTCTTGAGTATTTTCGTGTTTTTTTATAAAGAGTGACATTTTTCGATAAAGTCAAAAACAAAAGAGTTTCTCCTCTTGTCAACTCCATCCGTGGACACACTGTACATACATTATTAAGTAATAAACTTTATTGTACTTAAATTCTCAAGTTTTTACTAAATTATTTTATTAAAAAAGTAAAAAAAAATCAAAAAATCTTTTTTTTTTGTTTTCTTTAAAATTGTTTATTAACGATTTTTTGTATAAAATTTTCCTTTTACATTTTTTAAATAAGCCATTTCGATGAGAAATTCAATTCTCTACAAAATTTTTCCTATGAACTATACCGAAATCTTGCTTCGATTTCGTGCTATATTTAAAAAACTGCAGAAGTGCATCCCTATCTTCAATTTCAACCCTCTAATTTAATAGCACCCCGCGGGTTTTTCATTTTTAATGATCCTTCGAACAGGTCATGTGATGAAAATCCTTGAACGTCTTATTTCCTACCTTTTTGCAAAAAATGAGAATTAAAACGTATAGGGGTAAATGCGAAGAAAATCGAAAAATTGGCTAAGTTTGAGTGGCCATATATCAGTCAATTTTCATCCAAAAATCCTTTACAACCTCTTGTTTTAAAGGAAATTTGATCTACTTTTTTTTATGAAACAATGCCTACACCTATCTTTACTCAAAAAAAAACAAGAGGCGAAAAAGTAAAAAGTCAGAAAATCGAATATTTTGCTTTTTTCAAATTAACGATGTTTTGGATAAAATTTTCCTTTTAAATTTTGTAAATAAGCCATTTCGATGGGAAATTCAATTCTCTAAATATTTTTTCCTATGAACTATAGCGAAATTTTGCTTCGTTTTCGAGCTACAATTAAAAAACTGAAAGCGGTGCATTTTCACCCCTACCTCCAATATCCACCCTCTAATTTAATAGCACTCCGCGGTTTTTTCATCTAAAATAACCATTTGAACGATTCATGTGATGAAATTTCTTGAACGTCATAGTTCCTTTTAAAATCCTCTATTCAATAGCCTAACAATTTGGTATTAGATACTTATGAAACATACTTCTGTCTAACCTTATAACAAGGAGAAAACTATCAGTCTAGTTAATGAATTGCATATTTTTACTATTAAAGTGAACGAAATAATATGATGTGAACCCATAATAACTTTTTCTCTATTTTATTACAGAGTAAGAAAACAGTGCCCAATTTGTTTTTATTGTAAAAAATGGCGAAGGCGCTGGTGAGAATATTTAGGCATTTGTAATACTTTTTCTATGGTAGTTTTTTACAACCAATCTTCTATTTTAATGTTATAAATAAATCATTAATCAATTTCAACGTCGAACTGAAAAATAACGTGGTACTTACCTTCACAAAAATAATTTATTTTCATGGATTATCCTAATACTGCAAAAACACTGCGAGGCAATGTTTCAAATGTGGAATTTGAAAAAGCCATTTTATATATTTTAAAATCGATTTTTACTACAGAAAAACACACACTCAGTAGGTTATTTACTTTAATATCTAAGTCAATATAAATACAGTTGTTTTTGACAAATGTTAAGTACCTATATATTTTATTTAATCGTCAAAAACTTTCTTCGGGAGAGCAATAACACGTACAGGACCACCAGATCCTTCTCGCAGTTTCATGGGCATTACCAACAAGGTGAACTCTCTATCTAAAATAATAGTTTGTGTTATTTTATGAAGTACAAACTTTCATTGGTATTTCCTTCCAACTTAAAAAAATTCTCAGTCAGATGGAACTTTCAAAAACACTTACTTGGTAATTCATCTATAAGCTTTACATTCTCTAACACATACATCTGTTTTCCGTTTAGGATACGATGTGCCATGAAGTCGGTGCTCTTCCCTGGGTCTATGCTTGGAGTGTCGAGCCCTACCCCATAGAATTTACCGGAATTTGCCAACCACTCGGCAGCACCCTTAGATACACCTACAATCAATATTCAATTGTCCTTATACCTTTATTATCATTATTGTTTGCCTGCATACTAGTTATTTAGTGGCGAATGATAGATTTTTTTGTTGATTTTACCTGGGAAATTTAAATTCTTCTCTCTGTCCATTTCGAAGTACTTAGTAATGTTCAGCCAGTGTTGAGACCGACCAAATTTTATCAAAAGAACAGTTCCCTTCTCAAAAGGGCCATTTTGTCTTTCCCATTTCTCTAGGTGCTGTACTTCTAGATTAATATTACCTGTTTCACCATTACTGTTGGTCTCATTATGTAAATCAAGTAAAGCACCTGTTGGATAAATGAAATGAAAGAAGAAATTTTTCAAAAACGGAGGGTCACACAGAAGGAGCTTATTAATTTCCGAGTTTTTGTATAGGATGTCACAAATTCCCAAGTCTAGTCGTTACCAAAACTTGAACGAAAATAATGGGACTTTTAATACCATTTTTAATGTAAATTATTCATAATTTGCACTATAATTACATCAAATATCAATTTCATTGATTCCAAGCAGCTGATGAATAAAATTTTCTTTTTAATTTTGTTGCCCATTATTAACAGCATGTCTGACACTTCATATAGTTTTATATTTGACAGTTTAAATTTGTTTATTTATCTGATTTCATATGCTAGATGTTTATTCCATTATTACTTGCACTAATTTTTAAATAAATTGTCGTTTCAAAATTTTGATAACGAACACATGTGACGATATAACCTCATAAGCGTGTGCAATATTTTTCAACTCAGTACGAAATCAATGGAGTCGTAAATGCCGTAAAAGTCGTAAAAGCCATAACTTCAACAACCTGTATCTCGAAAACGGAGCACCCGCATTAAAAGTTTGACATCTTGAAGGTCTCACTATTTTTATTAGGTAATCGGTGCTTATCGTCTGAACCTACTAATTTGTGACACCCTGTATAACTTTCTTAAAATTTACAGTTGTCTTAAATTTTTCTGTGGCCTTGTGTGAGTCAGGGGTTCCCAATAAAGCCAAAATAATTAACTTATTTTTGTCCATAGTACAGTCATTAAAGCTTTTCACCTCCGAATTCTTTGAAACTCAACCGATAAACTTGAAATTTGGCAAATAGAGAAAAGATCAATGAACATTAGTGACATAGCGCCGATTGACGGTTGACCTCCCTTCTCGGGGGTGGAATTTTTTATTTTTTTTTAATCGATAGAAAATAAAATTTTGAAAAAAAATATTCGAAGAATTTTTTCGAGGAATCAATAGTTTTTCACGATTGGAAACTTCGAGTGAAAAAAAAAAACACTTTTTCAATGTATTTTTCGCGAGTAACTCAATAAATACGCATTTTATTTAAAAAAGTGTAAGGAACAAAAATGTGGCTTATAAATAAACAAAGAAAATCGTTTTTTTTTAAAGTGTTGTACGTCCTATACAAAGTGAAATATGGTTACTGGAAAGGGACTTGTTTTGGGAATCGACGGAAAAAGGATTAATTTTACGTGTATAACGCTCCAGGAGTTTTTTGTAGTACTCAAATAGACCTTCAAAATGAGCACTTATAAAAGTTAATTAGAGCAAAATTGAAGGAGTCATCGTCAAAAACAGATGGGTTGCTCATATTTTTTAAGGAAAAATGAGCTGTAAACGCTGTACCATTTCCATCAGAATTAAAATTAATCATAGACCCTTTACAATTAGTTTTGTTTAGTGTTTTTCATACGATCCTGAAGTTAGACCGGTTTAAAATGCGTATTTTTTTTAATAATGTACGGTAAAAGTTGAAAACGTATGTTTCATTATTCAAAAAAAATTGCCTTATTTATATAATAACTCTGAAATTATGAAAGATACGTAAAAAATGATAGACAGCAAAAATGAACCTTTTTTTTCAACAAATATTTTGCTTTTTTTATTCCTATGGCATAAAAAATTAAGGAGATATCGCCGCTTGAAGTATCCATTTTAGTGAAAAAACGACCTGTCTCGAGCCCTTCGATCCTTTCCCTTTAAAAAACGAAGGACTTAAAAGGTTTTATATATAAACGATCTTACAGCTCTTGAAATTATCTGTAAAATGCTTTTTTGTAGGATACTATAGCTTCAAAATTAACCGAGTTATGGTAAAAAAATCAAATACATTTTTTCGGAGAAAAATTTTTATTTTAAATAATTGCACCGTTAAAGCATTCCAAGCTTTTACAAAGTAATTTTTATCATTTTTGTCAATACAGGGGTGGTTTTTAGGGGTTGAAAGGGAAAAACTCTTTTATTAATTGTAAGGTAGGTAACTTTTATTTTAAATAATTGCACGATGCAGTTTCAAAGAATTCAGAGGTTACAACCGATTTTCAGCTTCATCGACTGTACTATCTCCCTTAAAACCTATTGTCAAAAAGAAATTCGGATTATTCATAAAATTCTAAATATTGTTACACTACACACTAACAATAATGTTTTAAAACTTAAAGTAGTTAATCCAGACTGCTGCAGATACCTACGTATAAATATTTTATTCATTGGTGCTCTTGGTAGGTACAAGTGTTTTGATTTTCGATGGAAAAAATCAACAACTCGTGTTTGGCTTACATTTTAAACGCTTTACAAATCAGTCGCTGTATGAATAGCAGTATAATAAATGAAAGGCAATTGTGAAAGATGAATACCGCTGAATAGAGTTAGCCTCATTGTGATATTGACGTGGGCGCGACTATATTATGATTAATAACAATGGTGAAACTATAAAATAATATTTTATTAGGCTAGACCGCTTTATAATGCGCAAAAACACCACTGTCAGAACCTCCCAAGCTAAAGCGACCTTTACAGGGTGTATATTTGAAGACGTGTTCTTCGTCTACAGTCGACGCGACGCCACAAATGCGTTAATTACAGAATCGCGAATGTTTGTTATTCAGCGATCATACTATTTGCTACTTTGACAAAACGCTGCTCCACATATGCGTCTGTCGATCGCTAGGGACACATTCGAAAAATTAAAATTTAGTTATAAGTTACAATCCAGAAAATATTATATGTTTCAAAAAAGAACCATTAGAAACAATTTTATTAAAATAAATATTACTTTAAAATCAGAAGTATCAGAGATATGTAGGTACTCAATTAAGTTAATTTTCAAAATAATGTTTCTATTTTGTTGTCTATGTCTGTGTTGTTTCTATGTTGAAATTTGGTTTAAGACTCAAGTTAAAAACAATATAAAGTTATTTTTTTGAGTTACAGAGAACTGATCTTTTGTTTCTTCTCGTTGCTAGTCATAGGTACATGAAGAATTTTATGAATTTATTGTTTTAAATAAAATATTATACTTATTTAGTTTTTGTTAATTTGAACATTGTAGGTATTCCCAACACATAATTTTCTTATTATAACTTTTATTCATTAAAATCTAATTAAACAAATGACATATGTATATCTAAAAGTCTATTCTTATTTCGAGTTTGTAGAATTTTATGAATTTATTGTTTTAAATAAAATATTCTATGCAAAAAATTTGAATTTTATACACAAGTCATCCAAAAAAAAATGGCACACTGAGTATCCGCCGAACCGGGGTGTGTGACGTCACCGCATGGGAAACCGATGCCGAATGCTTGCCGGTGTTGTCAGTCAGTAGGATAGTCAGGTTTTTGCCTGTTAAGTTTCGATTGAGTAGTTGAGTACATTAAGATACCGAATTTTGTTAGCAATATGGAAAACAGAACAGAAAAAAATTACAAATATTGTATTGTTCCCAGTGTGATAGTATAGAGTGAAGACGCCTAAGAAAATAATAATATCCCCGTAATTATGTCGTGCGGATCTAAAATCAATAGTCTATTAGTCTCTACTTTGATTTGTTTTTTTTTAATATTTTATTTGCAAATTGACATATTTTAAAGCAACAAGGCTACCCTGAGTAATTTACATAGGTATGTAATAAATACGTTTGTATCCTCTAGAAACACTATAGAGTTGTGTTTTCCATTGTTAATTTTTTTGTAAACATTATACAAATACCTATAGGTAGGTACTAAGTATTTATATAAAAATACATAGTAAATATTATATTATTAATATATTTATAAGATATTAGGTAGATTTTATGCAGTTTCCATGAGAATAAAAATAGTAATAATAATTTTGTATTTGATTAGGTAAATCTTTGAAACCTGTGACAAACGGTTTCGTCCAATTAAACGCAAAATCCTTATTCTTATTTACTATTCTTATTGTACAAAAACATCAAAATTTTCGCTACAAATGTACTTTAAAGAAGTTTTACACGTTACTGAAACGTAACCTTTGCATTTTCACTCCTCTCATCTCAGCACTGATAAAGTCGTGGTTTTTATTTAAAAAATTCATAACCATTAACAAACTTACTTTTGGCAAATTAGAAGAATCTGCTTTTACCTTCCATTTTGCTTCCATTTTTTAAATTTAATGTACACAAACGCTAAAACATTCTGTAGATGCAGAAACTCATCTACCAAGCCGGCTGATCGTCCCATGCGGTGACGTCATTGCATTGCCAGGGCTGAGACAAATATTCGCATTTTCAAAATCATATAGTTTGAAAACCGCTCAACGGTTTGAGTTGAAATGTTCAGAATCGCCTAATCCTGAGCAATACTTTGTGTATACAAAATAAGAACGATTTTAAAAATTTACTGAATGAATCAACAATCTGTAATTTGATAATTAAACTTTTAGTTTATTATTTTACCTATTTTTTAGCTTTTTATTTGGTATACCTTTTAGATTTAGCGTGTAGTGAATTATATTATAATTTTTTTCAACAGATTGTTTAACCAGTAGGTATTTCGTTATTTTTTTATATATTCAATACTTATTTTGTGAAAAAAATACAAAATACCTATTATTTAAACTGACAGTTGACATCAGTTTAAGTTTTTCTATTGTGTACAACGTAGGTACAAAGACGTAAATATAAAAATGGTTCCTTTAAAGAAATGCGCAGACTTGTACGAAAATGCCTAGCTATGCGCAGACACTGGCTTGTGCCCCGGCTTAAGTGAATGTCTTAATAATAATTTTTTATTAACTTAGGAAGGAAATGATATTATAAAACCTTACCTTTAGCGATAAGTCTTTCTACTGGTATATTACCAACTTTCCACCCATACTTATAGAAGTGGTAAGGAGCGTCCATGTGAGTACCAACATGTTCTCCACTTCGAAATTCACCACCTGCGTACCTAAATAATAATTTTGCAATAATCCAATTATTCTTTTTTAACTGCTTGTATCGTTGAACGTATAGATGGCATCACGATAGGTACTGTCGGCTGAATGTGATAACTATTATTTATTATATTAATTTTATTTTTATCCTACAGTAACAATCGAAATAAATAAACGTCGCCGTTTGTGATAGTATATAGCCTAGTCCGGACCGACATACATTTGCTCGTCAACAGTTAAACATTTGTATAAAAACTGTATAAAAGTTGTTTAAAATGTGTTTGAAAACATTTGTTTAAAAACATTTAAACAAATGTTTTTGTCTTTAGTCTGGACTCAATTCCTACCTCGTTTAAACAAATGTTTATGGAAACAAAACACAATACACAAGTGTATATAAATGTTTTGTTTGCAGACAAATGTTTCCAAACATTAGTTTGTGGGCAGTGTATGTAGGTCTGGATTGTAGTCGTTGAATTTGAGAGAATTGACGGTTTCGCCCTCTATAGGTGAATAACCGAAATCGCCTTGAACTACAGCAATGATGATGCAAATACCTAACTGTTTTTTTTTTTCACTTTATGTCATAGAAAACTTAATATTAACACTATATTGTCTATGATTTATGCTTTATGTACATACCTACTCAAGGCTCAAGGATTTTATACAAGAGGATTGCTCGATCCCATTTAAGCCTATGTTCGCCAAATAAAATGTCAAACGCTCGAATACGTGACGTCACTACGTTACCTCCGTGCTATGTTTACAATATGTAAAACAGCTCATTTTCCTTACTTTCCGTGTGTTTTTTGTGAATTATTGTTCGTTTAGAGGATTTATCCTCACTGTTATTATTAATTGATGTTATATACGTAGTTTGTTGTTGTAATTTCTTGTTAACTTATTAATATAGTTTGTTATCATTATGTTACTATTTGTGTTTGTGTTAGTTTAGTGTTCAGAGACTTTAGAGCCTGTAATAGAATTTCAATTTTGCTCAAAAGGTAATAAATTTAATATATTTTTTTAGGCATGTATATAAATACTTAAATTTCTTTGTTTTTAGGTTAATCTTTAATAAAAAAAAAGATGCCTGGTCTTCGATGTGCAGTTTATGGCTGCAATAACAGTTTTGTTGGGGTAAAAGCCAAAGGGGAAGATATCAAATTTTTTCCATTTCCAAAATCTAATAATTTAGTTTCACAAACAATTTACAAGGAGTGGATAAATCGTTGTAAGAGGCAGGACAGTTTTAATCCGAATCATAGCCGAATATGTTCTATTCATTTTACCAGTAATGATTTTGAGAGAGACCTGAAGAATGAACTTTTAGGTTAGTACATATAACAAGTATTATAATATTGGGTTTCTTTTAATTTAATGAAAATTACTTAAGTAATGTGTTTTTAGGATTACCTACAAAAAAAATGTTAAAGAAAATGGCTGTTCCCAGGATGCATTTGCCACTTCAGAGTAAAAAAA